TATTACTTTTTATTTTCAATCATATGTATGATAATATATGTAGGTATCTATTTCTATTAAGGTTTAATGTTGAAAAGTATTGATATTGTTTTTATTACAATTGTTCAAGTCAAAGTGCTCATACAGACATGTACGAAGTCAGCTAGCTGAGGATATGACCATTGTCATAGAGATGATTCTCTATTTGATGGCATAATTCAGAGTTATGCCATCAAATAGAATTCGTAATTAAGATATCCACGTCAAATATAAAATAACCGACATAGACCGAAGAATCAGCATCAAAAAGAAATGAAAAGAAGTGACCCTTTCGGGAGAAGAGCTGTTGGTTTATTTTTGGATTCTTACTCATCATCTTACTATTACATTTTTAATACAATTGAACAAATGTTTTATTCCATTATTATTTAACAGTAACGTCAAGTTAATGATCGTTGTTGATTACGATGATGCTACGATTACCTTTTAAATGGCCGCTTTCATAATTAGTGTGCAAACAATAAAAACTTTTATTCCCGCATTGTTACCAACTCGCTAGCTTCATTCAGCGGTAACTCGGTCATTTATTATTATTGTTATTAAAATTAACGTCTTGTTCCTCCAGAATATTGAATATTCAATTTCTGTCATAAGCTTGCGTAATACTTGGAACTGTATTGATAATTTTCGGAATATGTAAACATTCTCGGCTGTGTTACTGAGGAAAGCCGAGCTCTGCGTATAAATAATTAATTTGTTTTAGCACACACAAGCCCGAGTGTACTTGAGCGTGGTAGCTGTACTGCTGAAATTTTAAACCGGAACACGCGATTCACGGCCCTAAGGCGTTTCAATGGTTATTATGAGGCATGTTTGTATCCTGCTGAAAGGAATACTATTGCACCGTAATCAAGGAAATCATACAAAGACATAATATACGTTTGACAATCTATTTTAGTAAATTAATAATATATTAATGCCTACATTCGACGACACGGGTCGTAAATGGAAACTTGTAGTATCTGAGAATATTATTTAATGTCCTTTATAATACGATTTCTGTTCTAATGCCAAAATAATTGTTTAAATGTTTACGTAATTATTTTATAACATTATAAACTGCCCATAAGCATATTCATTCATAAGGTTCATGATTCAAAGGTTTATTTAATTATCTTTACAAAATCTTTGGAGTTAAAGATAATAATTACCTATAGATAATTACCTCGCGTAATGTAAAGAGGTAGAGTAATAAGTTTAAATGAGCATGTTCTTTTGTTTGAATTACAGATGTAACTACTGCTGAACCTTAAATTTACTTATTGGTATAGGATACCAACTTTGAATACTATTATTATTATAGATGAAGTCATAAATATGTTTGGTTGTTTATTAAGAAACAACCAAACATATTTATGACTTCATAAAGTAAGTATTCGGTCAGGCTTTAAAGTACGGAAAGGATTTAAACGAAATTCAGTTCTTTTTCTATACTATAGGTGGCAGTCGAGTAGGTATAGGACCCATCTGATGGTAAACGGTGATCATAGTCTATGGACGCCTCAGATATCAAAGGTGTCACGTGCGCGGTGCCGACGCATAAGAAACCTTAATATACCTAACTCCCATGCTGTACTCCCTAGAGAAATTTTGGCAGGTATGCATTCCACAATCTGAGTGAGCGTGGGAGGAAATTCCTCTAAAACCGCACTGTCCGTGACCTCTTAGTTTCCAAAGAGTGACTTATAGAACTCATTGAATATTTAGCCACAAAGAATAATAATAAATGAAGCCCATCGTACCTAATACATTTATACTCGTACTTCTTATGCTAATTATAGCATACGAAACTATACTCTATTTTATATTACTAGGTATTCCATTCGTGCACCACCTTATGTCTCTCTTCCACCCAAAGTGCTAGGAAATACCACCTATTGTACCTAATTACTTTATGTTCTTTGTTATTTACTTTTGGTTCAATAAAGAGCTATATGAGGTACTGTTAGTCAAGAACAATTTTAGACGATTATTCTGTTCGGGTAGATCACACCGCAGCTCGTGACGGTGTGATAGGCGTCTGTGCCACCTATTTGTGCCAAACTGATGTTAAATCTGCTCGTTAAATTTTATACGCCGCTGGTTTTTTCGTTTGTATTGCTATGAATTTAATTATTTATTAATACTTCGTCTCGTGATAGGTATCGTTTCGTTTTGCTGATTTAATTGGTATAGGTACGTCTGTGAATCTTCACAGTTGCATATATTTATTGTCGTATTTTTAATTAGATAATTGATATCAGGGTTTTTATAATAAGTAACCAGGATATTTTGTACCACAAGAAAAAACAACTACTAATGGCAATAAAAGTAGATAATATGGCACTATCACGGTATACATTACAAAAAGAATCATCGAAAATCCTTTAAACTCATTTGTACCATATTTAGTTCCATTACTCTGAAATCAACTGTAATAACTTTATAAGGGAATTAAGCGATTAACATCACTAGATAATAGAATAACTTGCAGTATTATTAGAAGCTTCTAGTATAAACTTTTCTCTCAGGCCACGAAAAAACTGACTTCAATCGCATTATGACCTAGAGCATATAGACCTATTTTTATTATTGGAGTTTTATTGTTAGAGTACCAGTGTATTAAAAGAAATGTATCAATGAAATCAGGTTACTTACATAGAATAAAGTAGTAATAAACCACAATGGTTTCTAATAAGGAACGACCTACGTTCAATAGCACTGTGCCCTACATTGATGTCAATGGAACCACTATTTCCCATTATTAACAATCCTCATCCCTTAATGTTAAGTTACAGTGGCCGGCCATACTAAAACTTTCCACAGCTTCAACTTATTTAAGTATTGTTAAATTACAGCTGTTACGCTTAGCTTAACGACCATAAACTTAACAACATCGATCAATGGTGCCCCAGAATATAGAGATAATTAATGGTTATCCATGACTTCAACAGGTGGGATACACTATCTAAGATACTCATAGTTTGGATATTTAAATGTGGTCAACTCCGAACATAAATGTGTGTAGATATTCTTAAAAAACATACATTTGTCTTAACTATGATTATAAATACAAATATAAGCTTGTTTATTTGGCTATTGCCATTCTAAGCCTTAGCGCCTTAACCAATTATCACGAATATTTTTTATATTACTGTGGTGATAATAATAAACATACGGCCTATGTGATGATTAGCCTATGAACGCCTGAGTCATCAGGAGTGTCACATGCACGTTGTCTACACTTGAGAAACTTTAATACAACCGTTCTTAAAAACCCCATGCTGTTGTTTCAGGTGAAACCCTTGACAATTAGTTCATACCACAATCTGAGTGTGCGTGGGAGGAAACTCCTCTGAAATTGTACTGTCAGTGACCACTTAGGTTCCAAAGTGAGCAAAAAGACATATTCTACTTTTAATCACGATCAATCATTCACGAGGATGAAGTCCCAAGCCGGCGCTAGTATTTAATAATAATATTTAGGTATGTCAGTCCGTAGTACAGTCAATGGAATATTTTTAAATCCACCAAAGGATTAAATGGGAATTGAATTTAATAATACAAAACGCGGTGTCTACGTTGATCACGTGAAGGTAAAAAATAGCGTCCGCCCGGACGTCAAGGGTATTATATGCGAAGTGATAAAGGCCTGTATTGATGTACTAATGTATTTAAACCCTCTGTTTTATGCTTTAATAAAATTTTCTGAAAATGATTATTTAAATATACTTGAAAATGAACACTTTTATGTAGTGGATGACATTGAAAGTCATTCCGCTTGCGCTAGCAGTACCTACATGCTATTACACCACTGGTGAGGGGTGAAAATATGAGAATGAAGTTGACTAAGCCACGAAGGCTACAATTAATCAGTAACTAAACTCGAACTCGAACTCAGGACGAATTGCGTGACGAATAACCTATAAGGATTCGTAACTAGGAGTATAACTAATATTCGGTATTTCTAACAGTCTCCACTATAGGCAATAGGAATCAAATTAAATAGACAATAACACACTTACGGACGATCGATTGGAAGTCTTTCAAGGTATAGCATATGATATAAAAAGATAGAGTAGTATAATAGTAATCATTTATCCAGTGTCCAAGAAATTCTATTCATGAAGTGTATACGTGAAATACGTGAGAAAAATATAATAAATATTCGTAGACATTCTAAGCGGTGGCGGAACAAGATTTCTAAAAATTCAAATAATTGTAGCATGGAATTCGATAGTAAAGAAAATACTGCAATGCAATGTCTATATTATTGTCTATCTATCAATAATTTATGTATATATATGTATATACTACTTCATACCACACTCTTTTTATTTTATAAATAAAGAAAAAAGATCCGTTTGAATTATTTTTGTAAATTAAATTTGTCTGATTTTGTGTAACAATATAAATTAACTAATAACAACTATCGACGTAGACTTTGTTCAAAGTCGTCTAACTCTGGCTTGCCTATCTGCCGTAAGTCAGTTTTGTTTGTAATCAATATTTTGGTTTGAACTATGACATATGCCTGTGTAATTGAAAGGCACGGATGCATTACAACTTATCTCTCAGGAGGAGCACCGCAAGTGTGTACTTCACTTCACTTACTGCACAGTACAAGTTCAACAGATAGGCTGTTTATATTAGCGACTGTTGCTACTCCCAAACAGAGACAACTTCTTAAATACCCGTAAAGTTCCAAATCTAAAAACATTTCTTTATCATATGTAACTATTCCTTAGATATCGTTATAACATTACCAATTTGTGAAATATCAAACAATAATAGACGGATGTAAAACAAAATCATACCAGGAGATTAGGTTTTAACTTGTTGGTTTAATTTAACCTATAGCAGTTTATTGGCTTCTATGAAATTACACCTAAAAGGCAGTTGTTGCAGCAGTTGTTACAACTATTGGAATGAAAAGAATAGTAATATAAATATATTGAACAATATGTAATTTAATCCATAATTTTTACACTCACACATGTGACGATTGTATAAAAACAATAACAATTCATAACGATACTTATAGAAGATTCACAATTATTCGAAAATATATGTATTAATAAAGCTATTAGAAAATAAAGCGTTTTGTTAATACATCGCCTGTGAGATTACAACGATTTAGCTTTTATTAAAATACCACAAACAATTTGCGCTTAACTATGTTCTAATATAATTTATTATAAATTTATGGTTTAACGGTAACTGTATAATTAATAACATCACACAATTTAATATCATTAATACATCTTATAAGCCAATTCTTATTGACGTGCCTAACATGATCCGGTAAATTTCTTTTTAATTTCGTCATTTTCTTAAAGCTTATCTCATCGTTTATATGAACGACAAAATCAGCCTTCATATTGCGTATCGATTTATCTACTATACCGCCATATGCTATCCAATGTCTTTCGAAATGTTTTCTTTCGTCCTCTGGAAAACTAATGAAATCCGGGTAGAAACCTAATCTTTTATCTTTGAATACATCAGGCAAAGGATTATCAGGTAACAACTGTATCTTTATATCCTTTTTACTGTCAACATCATCACAGTTTATATTATTATCGCATTCATCCGATACGTCAAGGGTATTCTTGTTCCTTTTCTTCTTTTTAAATGGTGATATCATTTCTTCCTTTATATCGCTTTGATTCATTCTCTTTTTAGGTGTAGTATTGGAATTACTGAATGTTTGTGCGCATTCAGTCTCCTCAAAACTAGATTCACTCTTTATCGACGTGATTGTAGTATTAGAATCATCTTTTTGAAATTTCTTTTTCACCGGTGATGTTTTATCTTGTTTTGTAAGAAATTTATCTATTTTGTTGGCTTTTGGACTGTCTTTTATTTTATTTTTCGGTGACACTGAATTCTGGGAAGCTGTTACAGCTAGATTATTCAAAAGGGTTACGTCTGTCTTTTCTTTTGACGTTTTATATAAATGCTTTAGTTCTTTCAAGTTGGTAGCGGTTGTCCAGTCTTTATCTTTTCGTATTCTTGTTACCCTTGGAAATCTAATAGAAATACCATCTGCTGTATGTATGTTTGCTTTGGTAAATTCAGTACCTGAAATTATAGTTCCTAAATTTGTACATTTTTAATCTGCTATTTGAGTTTACAGCATTCAATATATTAGATTGACCCGACCCGTGCCCACTCGTTAGGCAGTAAACATTTTTACTTGTAATGAAATTATGAGCGTGCATGCTATGATTTCTCAACTGCCAAAACGTCGCGTTGGCCGAACATTCAAGTTGGCCGAATAGAATCGACAAATTGTCTCGCGAACTGATATTTTAAATTATCTCTTATACTATGCAAACAAAATATAAATATTGTAAAAAACGAGTTTTATCTAAATACATTTTCATTGATGATAATGCAATTTTTTGTAAGTAAATACATGTTGAACTGGCCATTGAATTCCATCCAGATGATTACTTTAGCCCACCCAGTTAGAATTGGGGCATTCTTTTATTTATAGATCCTGTACCATATGTGATGTTAATAATATATACTAAACGCAAATATTAAAGTATAACTGTTTTATAAAAGATGTCAAAGAGCTTACCAGTTATTTCCCACACAGGTTGTTTTTTCGGATCTTTCGCTACAAAATCAGGAACCAGTCCTTTATTGCAGTCCAGCCATGAAGGTATTCTAGTATTATCTTGAGATATTTTTAACATGAGAGGCTCTAATTGCACTTGGAGTCTTTCCAAAGTGCTATCATCGTGACCAGTATGCACTTTTGTCACAGTGACCCATCGGTCTCGTAACTCGTCAAAACATCCCATCAGAAAAACTGACATCATACCGCCTTTCTTCCCAGAGCCTGCAATTAAAAACTTATTTAATAAGAATAATATTTTTGCATCTAAATATTATGATCATTTCAATATGAGGGTAAGCGAATACAGTGAAACTACTTGAATCATAATCACAATGAAGAATATCTATTAGGCAGTTACTAAAAATGACTATTCCAATTATGACTATGAAAACTCTATTGATATGTCAAGAAATATATTTTATAATGTCTCAGATTTGTCATTTAAAAAAAAAATACTACTTGTTTTTATAGCTAAAACCTATTAGCCATTACTGGTGAATAGCTTAAGACAAAAAATCAACACTAATTTTCGATTGGACTTATACTACTAAGCTTTGGTACTCAACCAATGAAACAAATTTTATAGGCTCATGAATTGTTTAGAATTGGAAATTATAGCCCCAATACCTATTATATGTATTGGGGCTATAATGGTGGATTTCAAGCTTGTATTTGAACAGTTGTGAGAATAAAGGTAACCAACACCTTTATTATAATTATCTCAGTATGTTGTGTTCAAAATTTAAATTAACTGTCTATATACCAAATAGAACAATCTAGAACCATTGTAAAAGTAAAATTTGTAAACAATACTAAATTATGTAGTTAAAATATAAACAAAATTTTTAACACTGATGCCACATTCTCACTTTACATGGGTTAAATAATATAGGATGTAGCATATGCATTAAATATTACTTATATTATCTTATTGCACAGGCAATTAGTTCTTTTACAGTTCACACAGCATCATTTAGTCCTAAGCTATGCAAATCTTGTGTTATGGGTACTAGACAACCAATATAAATATTGAAATATATGTTTTTTAATTACAATGAACACATGTACATAATATGCATAGAAAACATTCATAATCATACTCATGATTACAAATATCAGAAGTAAGGAAACACAACTATTGGAAGTAAAGCAGTGCTAAACCAATATACTACCGAGGTCTTCACCATAGAGTCGTCTGTGAGAATATATAGTTATTTTATTTACCAAACCAAGCTCCCAGAACAACGAGATCAGCTGTATCTGCCATTGCTCCATCAAATAGATAATCCTTTTTTACTTTTAACCAATGCCGTTTACCAGGCTCATATGTAGACTCTAGATCCTTCAATACTAATCCTTCTAACCCAAGCTGCAACACCTGAAACCGTCATTTTATAATACTGTTATTTTACAAGTAAGTAAGCAGTATACAAATATATACAAAAAAGGCCTATTTAATTCAAGTAAAAAGACACAAGACAATGGTTTTATTGTAAAATTATAGGAGAATTAATTATACTTATTTTCCCAAAATTATTCTAATATACATATAAGTCAGGTAATTATAAATATATACATATATCATTATTTTTAACTTAAAACCTGGATTTTAGTTTAGTTACTAGTTTAGTATAGATATCACTTATAAAATTTATTTCTATTTTTACAAAATCCTATCATTACTGAATTATAAGCAGCATATTATAATAAATTATAAGAGTTACTATAATAAAAACACATCACTGTGAAAGTAACATAATCTGTACAAATAAAATTTAGATGAATGTGTAAGTGTAATTGATGAATTTACAAATAAATATGATCTAACAATAAAAATTGACCACAGTTTTGCAATAATTTGTTACATTACAAAAACACAAGACATAAAAAATACAAGTTATAAATTAGATATTACCTCTGCAATCATTGTTGCCAAATCCGCTGCTTTCTCAATGTGCTGCTGTTCAGAAATCATTACATGATTTTTTACTTCAACCATATTGTCAATTAAGAACTGTCTTCTTTTTCGTATAGGCAGATCTATAAGAACCTTATCATTATAATATAAACAGTCAAATACAAACAGACAGACCTGTGCATCCTTAAACTTTGACTGCTTATGAATACCAAGTGTACCAAATGGTAATGGTTTACCAGTATTGGTATCGACCATCAAAACTTCAGCATCTAAAATCAGATCAACAGCCTCAGGAAATGCTTGAGGTAAATAATCCTTAAAATGACTAATTTTATGTGGCATAACAGGTTTCAAAGCTCGTGAAAAATACTTAAACTCATTCCCTTTTTTATGCACTTGTACTCTCTCCCCATCATATTTGATTTCGGAAAACATTCCATTTGGACATTTCTTCATTGCCATTTCAACTGATTTACAGGCCTCCGCTAACATGGGAAGGACAGGAGTCATAAGGATTATTTTAGCTCGGACATTATCATGTGATGAGTCCTTGTGTTTCACACCCGTGGTGTTAGACAAAACTCTATCTAATACCATGCTCAGATCTCTTGATGTTTGAAAAGCTTTGTAAGCATCTGGATGAACACCCTCCAAAATATGTTTTGGGCCCGCATTTATACGCAAGTCTCCTTTGATAAGCCGAATTAACATCAGTATGTCATCCTGAGTACATTTTTTAACAATTTTTTTAAAGTGATATATTTGTTCTTCCTCTTTTGTCAATTTAGAAAGATCTTCAAGGAAATTCTCAACATCATGTATTGTTAGAGTACTCTCATGGGCCGGTATGACAGAATTAGCTTTGGTAAAGAAATTTTGAACAGTCTGAGCTACATCACCTTGTTCAAGATCTATAAGCATGTCATAATGATCTGTACTAAATATTTTGGAGAACAATTTGATTATCTGTTTACTTTTCAAATTGTAAACCCTTTTAGTAACCTGTGGCAATAACAATTTACACCATAATAATAAATCACCATTGAACAAGTTATTGTCTGTGCCTTTACGAAAAAAATTATTAACAACTGCTGTTTTTTCTGTATATGCATCTACCTTTGATATTTTCTTACAAAGATTAAAGAATGTTGAGAACATGTTATCATTAGTTTTTATACTTTGTGTTTGCAATGCTTTTGTATTAGTAATGTCAGTAGTATCAGTGCTAATTTGAGGCGCTTTTGACTCATTCTTTATTACTTTCGCTGTATATTTCCCGCTGTTTTTCTCAGCATAAAGTTTTTCCATTTCATTTATTTTCTTTAATAAAAACTTTTGATCTTCCTTGGTTACACTGTCCCAGTTCCCAATGTCGTCGATGGAGTCTATACGTTTGGTGGCTGGACGTTGTTTTAATAACGCCGTCATGAAACAATCCACATGATGCCATGATTTCATTTGCTGATTTTCGCCATATGGACTTGCAACAATCTTGGCAAAGCGTAGTTCTCCAGTTTGGCAATTTCCTTTGCAAACTTTGCATGATGCTCGTCCGCCTTTCGCTCTGTCGACGTAGAAAGGTGTAAAATCCGCCATAACGTAAAACTTTATTAACACTCTGCTTTATACCACAAAAAATTATGAAACATATTTAAGTTTATAGGGAATTAATAACAAATACTGTTACATACGCACTTAAATCTACATAATGAATCAAAACAACAACGAAATGTCAAATGTCAATGTCAATTCGACATTTCTAGTGATGCGAATTTTGCTCAGGCACGTAAATAATGTAACGAATCACCGGTGGAGTTAGAAATGAAAACGTAATACTTTTTACTTAAATCAGTTTTGATATTCGTTTAATGACGATGGTACGCATTTTAACCGTAACCACTGTTGCTAGCACCTACAAATAATAACGACAAATGACGTACCCTATCGACCGCATTCTTCACGCATGCGTCTTAGAACTGTTTTGTACTCCATTTGGATTGAATAAAAATGCCTATTAAAACTATTAGAGCTAATCATCGTTCTTCTCTACTTTTCACTTCTATTACTATTAAGTAAATACCACTGAGCAAAAGTAAATACCAACAATGGTTTTCATATAAATATGTTAAATATGATTACCGAAAAAAACTTAGTTCTCTTATTGACCTGCATTCACGAATAGTTTTCATGTTGTTCTATACTATAAAATTAATACTAATATATTTTATTTATAAATATATATTTTTTAACGGACAATATCAATAAATTTGGGTCATCACATATCCTAAAGACATTTAGAAATTTTTGATGTATTTTACATTATATTTTCCTGCTTCGTTCCTCTAATCTAACATGGATAAATGTAGTCCGTGTATTCTTACTTCATCCCCACAAAGTACTAATACGGATTAATTTAATTTTTCTTTTTCAATTTTTTCAGCTTCATCCTGTCATCAAGAGTTTAGCAGTGATGGATCAAAGCATGGAACACTTACATCTCCTCATTACCCGTCGCCTTATCCACCTAATACGCACTGCCACTACGAGTTTTTTGGAAGAGGAAAGGAGAGAGTTAGATTAATATTTCAAGATTTCTTTTTGTACAAATCTGCAGATGGATCTGTTGAGTAAGTATCTAATTTTATAATAGAAACAATAATTTAAAAAAATACTTATTATTAAAAAATGAGTCTAATACCTACTAGTACATAAGTAAAACCATTAAAATAGTATTATGTATCAAATTGTGTGAAACCGTCCGACTACGGCTAAGGGACGAGTGGTTGTTAGTGATGGGGACTAGTGGCCAGTAGTGCTGCATATTGCTAGCAATATATATAGGATCAATAGTGGTATCGGCGGTACCCTAAAAGAATTTAGCTACACTCGACTGCTCAGCCTTTCGTAGCAGACAAAAGTGAAACATTGCAACAGGTGGTGAAGAGTACATAGTGAAAAAAAATATTAACTAAGATCATCATCTTAGTTTACATTTTATATATATAAACATATTAAAATTACGAAAAAATATAATATATACAAAGGTTTTTAATTAATGATACTAGCATAGTACACCCGCCTGATGGTATACGCGAAGCACCTGTAGGACAATAAGATAAGGTCAGTTATCCCTTTGTGACAAATTCACCACAATGATTTCCATGAGGGATCACTTGGAGGTCGACCAGGCATACTAGATTACAGTTCCCACGCGTGCTGGTGTGTAGCTGACGATATCCGTCAAAAGTTATAAAGAAATATCATTATCTTGATGCAGAAAGGTGGTTGAAAAATTATGCTTTCTGCATTCAAGAACTTCTTTTGCTATTTTTCATCCCATCGAACTATTAGTTAGATGACAACTTAACAATTTTCTTCATTTTCATTTCAGCTGTACGAATTTGGATTCCCTACAAGCATTCGTGAATGTAGACGGAAGGTTAGAAAAGGTCGAGACATTTTGTGGGGTAAACCTACCCAAACCAATTATGTCGAATGGACCGAAACTAATGTTGGAATTCCGGGGTACACAGTCTTCTAGATATGCCAGAGGATTTAAAATATCATATTCGTTTGTAGAAAGTAAGTGTATTTTCCTCCTTCATTCAATAGTATCATTATTAGCCACTACGCCATCAATGATATACTTGATAGATTTACTTAATCTAATCAAAATTTAGTACTAAATATAGATATGTTTTTAATATTCATATATTTCATTTTTAGATTTCGGAATCAATACAGGGAGGCAACTGAAAGAGTTTCCTTGCGCCTTTGTTTATAATAGTAGTGAATCTCGAAATGGTACCTTCGCGTCTCCTAATTCTCCGGGACCATATCCCCGTGACACTGAATGTACATATTTCTTCCATGGTGGGGAGACAGAGAAGGTTCATCTTCACTTTACGAACTTCGATATCGAAGGAGTTTTGCCGTACGTATTATTATTTCAGAATTTTATTGGTAACTATATTCTACATTTTTTTTTGTATCCATACATAATTTTTCAAAATTCACTGTAATAATGTTCACTCAGGAACCTTATTTCACTGTTTAACCACTATAGTACCGAATCGGATAAGAATTCTGCTGAACCTTACCTGGTGATCTATATAATGATGTCACTATGGTAAAATAAATATCATCTTAATCGTACCTACTGTAATAAAAAATTGCATGAGATTTGCAAAGCCAATTTTTTGTCGCAGTCCATTATTCTGTCGAATACCTATATTCGAATTCGGTCTACTAGGGTATAGTTATAAAGGTACATAAATGTGGTTGTCTCAATAAATATCTTCAGAGATGGGAAGCATATTAATACAATCAGATATAGGTATATGCTCATTAGCCATATTCCGTATACCTGAATTTACTAATATTGTAGATATTATTGTAATGAATTATTTATTAGATCATCTAATTGTGTCATCTAAGTTCCTAACAATAAAAATACTCGACTATTTCAGATGTGAAGCCGTGTCAGCTAGCGATTACGTTGAATTTTCAAACTATATGACTGAGGACAATAGATATGGTAGATATTGCGGTCTGATGAAGGAGTTTCATGTGGAGTCGGAGAGAAACTTCTTCAAAGTAACATTCAGGTCCAATGATCGGTTAGATGGTACTGGTTTTAAAGCTATCTACCAATTTTTAGAAATAACAGACGAGTATCAGGCTCCTATACAAGATGAGGCTTCAAAAGCAATGTGTAAGTATACATCTGATTCGAAATTACATTTTGTCAAAATATTTAATAGCTTCGTAATTGGCATGCCTTTATATATTTTTATGGGTACATATTCATATATATTGGACGATTGGGTTATGTCCAGTCGTTCAATATTATATATATTTATAATAATATAATTACTATTAAGAGATATCGTTGCCTGAGCAAAGGCTAATATTCGATTATGAGAAACATATTAAAATATTCATCTTGCAAAAAAGATTCCAAAACAACAATTATGGTTGATTGATTATCTTTACTTAATGGAAGAAGTGTAAATAACTTTATTCCATTATACACAAATAATGCAATGTAGTAAGACTGGGAATTCCACTACCAATATAGTAATTATGGGGTAACTGTATTTTTTATTTTTAATTAGACATAAGTATATGCTCTAATGATTTTAATGAAACAGGTAATTCTACATATGTAACATCTAAATACCACGCGCTATTGAATGACAATAATAAAGGACAAAGCTAACATAAACACATTGTAAGGATGTAAAAATTACTAAGGCGAATATTTATTTTTTACTAGAAACACAATCAACATTCTTTCCACGAGAAGATAAAGTTGATACCTTCTAGTATCATCTAGCCCGTTCAATTCAAATGGGAATCGAAATTACGACAGCCTGATCTGAGGTTCGAATCCCTGGCGGTGCCCTCAGAATAAAGTCGTATCCATCAGGCAAGAGTTGGCGGCCTCCCGCTGATTTGTAGTGCCATATGTACTCGCCACCTATCATTCGGTGAAGTTGCAAAGGACGGACTGTGTGCAACAGCGTTAGAATAGTTCGAAAAATAAACATCAGTAATCAGTACCCAAACGTCTAAAAGTTTTGAGAGATACTTGTAGTCTATGCAAATGTTTTGAGAACTCAAATGAAAACTCGAAATCCCAAAACCCAAGGTGTATAGGTTATCTAGTTTCCATTAGTTTCGTAAAATAATGATGTGTCTTCTCATTCCTGTTTTAATATAAGGAATTATGTCTCTTTTTACAGATACTTCAGCCCACCTGAATGCGATGCTGATCCTTACCATAATAACAGAAATACATCGGCAATTATATCATTAAATAAAGTGATATTAGATTAATTGATTAGTCTGTAATCCTGTATATTTTGTATAATAGCATGTGCCATACACATTTGTAATTACGTAGAAATGCAATATTTTCTAATCTGTTTTCGTTTTAAGTTTTCCCTTATTACCGACTAAAGCAATACGATATGAAACACAATAAATTCTTTAATAATTAAAGGCACGTCATAACAATAATTAAATAATTTGAATCAAATATTTGTTTCCATTCCTATTGTTAAGTGACGAAATAAAAGAAATAAAGAGTTGTATCTATTTATTTAATATTTTTCCTTTAAATTAAAGTTACCTAACTACATTGACATAGATATTGCAAAGAAATACAGTGTAATAACTTTCTAAGTTTAAGTAGCTATATTATAGAGTGTTATAATTACTTTAGGGTATTGGAAAATAACGTACTTTGTGGTATATTAAAGATAGACCGATGTTTAGCGGCAATGATGTTGGTTGGTTGGATGGTTACACGAAATATATTACAAAGTTCAATTTAGCTCCGTATCCGAAAATGAATCGATTGAATTTTTTGCAACTGAAATGTCAAATATTCTGACGGCCTACCTGATGGTAAGTAGCAATGATCTCCTACAATATATTAATAGCAATGTGGTAACTAAATGAGTTGCCATTCAGGATAAGAAGTCAAGACATTGTACACTTTTATTTCACTGTCCTAACTCATCTCGGACCGAACGGCTTACAAAGCAAGTTGAGAGTACTGAAACGGATCTACGCATTCAAATATACCTATTTTTACATAATCTACGGTAAATTAACCCCCTAATGTTTTACAGATAACGAATATATGAAAGGCTCACTACGGTGTGGCTTATATGATATAAGTATTAAGTGAGACCACTCTCTTTTAGTCAAAGTTAATTTTAGTACAGCTTCACGTCAGGTGCTATTTATTTATGATTTAGGTTCAGTTCCGTGTAGTTGTCGACATTGGGAGGAAGCTGTGAAATACTTAATTTATAACTACGTATCCAAGTAAGTATTTATACAAAAGTAGATATGTAGGCACTAACATTTTTTGATGTGTTTGAATTTTGAAATGACAAACTACATGACATCCCGTATAGGCATGCACCATGGATCACGTAATAATATAACGCTCGAAATGACAACGCATGTCTACCCCTATAGTAATTTCGGAGGACTAAAATGTCATAATTTCGTATTCTATAATTTAATTGCTGCCTCTTTAACCGAAACACAGCATATTTGGCTGATGAAATACACACGTCGGAGGACACAGTCGACTTTTTACAAAATTTACCTCTGTAACAAGTACATTACCAAGAACTTTGAACTCTTTCAAACCAAGCGATCATCAAACTTATATTGTAACAAAATTCCATACGTTGTAAGTAGGTACGCTCCTCGATTTATCAATAAAATGCTAGTAGGTACCTACCTAAATTTTGAAAAACTTAGTTGCGTATAGAAACCTAAATTATCTATTTATCAAAATTGAATTGCTAAAATAATAATTAACAGATCTCATCAGATGTATATGCAAAATAACTAAGCCGACCTAAATTAGACTTCACATATAGTTGATTATTATGTAGACCACAGCAGTATAGGTAACTACCTAAAACATCATGGATCATAAAATATGTTTATGTTCCAACTTACCACAACAAAGAATTTCAATTAAATGCTTTGTTTAAAACTTGTCGACATTTTCTTCCTGCTCTCGCGGTTATAAACTTTACCGTATTGAATTGCATAATCTGAGAATGCTAGTTAAGCTTTTTAGCAGGGCACACTGCGCTGTGTTGCAAGTTTCGTACTTGCACAGTTTGTACGCCCGCGCGTCGACAGGTGTGGCGGCGCTGCCGTCGCATCTGATTGGTTATTTTCTTGTGATTGCCCCTCTCTCCATTCCGCTGTCTCTTTCTGTACGTCAGTCCGAGTTTGTACGTTGCGTGAGTCGTATGTACTTGTGTTTATACTACATTGCTCGCGAGTCGCGAAACTTTTTTAGCGAAACTTTAAAAATATACTCATTAGAACTATACTGGATTTGTAGTGAAGTGCAGGAACGGAAGTATTTGGTTTTGGAACATTGTTTGTTTGTGATAAAGTTAAACTTGTAGTGTGTGTGCTTGTGGTCACAGGTGTCGCATTCCTTGAGGGACGCCGACGCAGCCTCCGATACGGTGGGCAGGTGAACGGATAGTCAATTTTAATGTGAGTATTAGGTATATAAGTAATAATAGTAATGAATTGAAACTACATGCAATTCGATTACATTCATCCTTCACTTGATCTTTAGGGGTTAAACTAAAGTTCAACAGGTTATTTTATTATTTTTCATAGACCAGACATGTAAATGTGGGGCAATACATATGCTTAGTGGAAGCGAGGAACGTTGGAATGTATCATGGCCCATTGCTAGAAATGTTATGAAAACTATGTAAGGTTAACCAGTACGAGGTCCATGACTTCCTTGTGGAAGCCATCGTAGTTAATTCCTAGTAAATACGTCCGCCACGATGAGTTAGCTGATCTGATTTCTGCCTCATCCCTCACATTAATGCCCAGTTATCATATACTGATAGCTATCATTATAATCCATTAAAAAATAGGGTAGGTAGGTACCTACGTGATGTGAGTTTTAAACCTTCTATAAATAAAATTACGTCGGTTATGGCACGAGAACAATGTATAATATAACACGCAAAATAATCTGAGAAAAGACACATACAAGTAATTATAATATACCTTATTGATAAATGAAACCGCTTTCCATACTGGCTTCTGTTATACGGCTAATGCTAGTTCAGAAGTCAGAACTACACAGAAATACAGAAACGATTTATATTGTCTTGAAAGTGTACCTATTGGATAAATAATATTGTAACGATCCTTCTGATTGCGTGAAAGTCAACAATTTTAGATTGTAAATAACTTTATTTATAAATTAAAAAATAAAGTCCTGGTTGCGTGAAATCCTATTCGTGAACAGTCAATCGCCTAAATCATTATAAATATATCTCAGATTATGCTACGGCCCTTTTTATTTTAGTGATTTATTCATATCACACCTACATTGATGAGAAGAGTTTTGATGAGTATTGACTAGTGACTAGGACCTCCCTTTTTATTTGTTACTAATGTTATATCTAGGTAGGAATCTACCAATGTAGGTAACATTGGCGAATCTTTATGATTATCCGTTATTTGCGATGCATCGCAAATAATGGATAATCACAAGCGTTATCCAGTCCAATGTCTACATTGTGAACTAGATATAACATTAGTAACAAATAAAAAGCCTCCTTTTTATAAAGCTTACTTCTGTCTAGAAGTAAGCTTTATAAAGAGTCGTCTGTATGGGTACCTCAGTTTACCTATTTCAGTAGCCGAATAGATTGCTTTGTAAGCTGCATTTTGTTTGAATGCATAAGACTATCAGGCCTTGTTATGTTGTTATCTTGACCCGAGATAACTTAGTACCTACTCAGGAATGCCAACACAACGCATGATAACGTGATGTCCGTAGTGTTGTTCATGTATATAGATGACGGTTACTAGTAGTATCACAAAATTTGATAGCGTCTGTGGCCTAGCGGTTTAGTACACCGCTTTACTTCCCATGGTCGCGGGTTCGATTCCTCGCACGGTGCAAACATTTGTATTCATGAGTATGATTGTTTGTATCAGTCTGAGTGTTTTCTATGAATATTCTTTATTTATTTACAAAATAAAATTATCTAAGTATTTATATCAGTTGTCTAGTACCCATAATGCAAGCTCCGTTTACCATGAGACTAGATGGCACTGTTTTAATTGTATAAGGTATATATTTATTTATTTATCACATGAGCCATTAGCTGTATGTCATTTCAATTACATAAAATAAATCTTCCAAAATATTGTTAACAAAACTCCTTGAGCTGTAAATCGATTCAGTGGTATCATTTGTTGAACAAAAAACAATTATAATTTTAACATTTTTTTTAATAAAAACTAGTGTTCGAATTTTGTCCGATACATTTGTGAACAGTCCACTGTCACAATTTGAATATCGCGCCACAAAAATATTAAACACTATTGTGACTATATTTCGCGTGAAATGGAACGTTAACATGCTGAATAAGTCTCCAAGATTTTGCACAGTGACAACCGTCTGTGTGGGAACCAGTGAACATTCCTCTGGTAAGTCTATTTTACGGTGTTTTATGTGTTATAATTATATTTATTTAACAAAAAAATTGCTCAGTGTGATAATTTAGACCTGTTTCAGTTTCTACAAGAAACCGAGTCGAAATACAGCAATAGTATAATATGTTTTCGATTCTTGTTCCAAAATTTGGAGTCTACATTTTGAACTGTGTTTCTCTTTAAAGGGCATATGTCAGTAACTTACAGGACAATTAATATGTTTTCGATTCTTGTTCCAAAATTTGGAGTCTACTTTTTGACTATGTTTCTCTTTAATGGGCGTTGTATGTCAGTGAAAAAACTTACAGGATATAGGTACATGATTTCTTCTTCTTTAGTCTTCTTGAATGGCAATTCATGAAGGGATGACACGTGACGACGTCATATCCGTGTTACTGTATATATAATAATAGGTGATGAGCCGACTGTTATTACATTTCGTAAGGTGCCGTGAGCATCGCAATTCTTCTTATGTAATTAGAATGACAAACAAGCTGACGGCCTGCCTTATGGTAACTTAACTGTGGCTTATATTACATACAGAGCAGCATTACAGACATGTCATGTTTCTTATCTTATTTTATATCCTAATTTCACTGCCTCTAGGCCGCTGAAATACCTACACAAATGAGACAAAGGAAACACGTAGACGAGTTTATATGCAGTTTCTTCGTTTTATATGTTATGGGCTGTATGAATTCATTATAATCAGAGTTTATAATAAATTCATACATCCCATAACATTGAATAATATATAAATTCAGTTTATCAACAGATTTATTAATACCAGAAGTTTATTGAACGTGATGACAGCAAAACATAAATATTGATGACAGTTGTAAGAAAATATGTATCAATCTACATCATTAATAATTAACGATCCTCATCTATTGTTTCTAAAAGCTATTACGTATCTAATTAAGTCGTTGTTGTCTTTGATTATACAGTAATCATGTATTCATGACTTTTTATTAAACATAATGCAGTAATGATCGAGTAACGAATCATGTAATGTCTGTAATTACACATTATACAGTAAGGTGTATTTTGACTGAGCGAGTAAATTTTGATCTTCTTGCTTTCTTACTAATATTCTATACGCGAAAGGTAGAGGAAGACCGAAAAAGAGATGGATGGACTGTGTGAAAGATGATATGGTGAGAAAGAAAATATGGAGTAAATAACGACGAATGACTGCGAACAGAGATGAATGGAAGAGAAAAACATATTACGACGACCATAATAAATGGGATAAGGAAGAAGCAGACGATTATATACGCGATACTTTGTAAGAATGGATGAATAGATGTGTGTTACTCCTATAATTACACATCGATTTTATCATATATTATTATGTTAAAGTTTTTAATACTTATATGTTAGAAGCAATTGACAAATCAAATTGGTTCCATCACATCATCAGCTAACCATAAAAGGTGCCTATAATTTTTTAGTTTTAATCTGTACTTATTTGACTCTTTAACTTCCGTGCAAATTCAAATTGGTTAGTAAATGTTAAATAAAAAGACATCGTGTCGTATCATTCGACAAAGGATTCATCCATAGAAACCAATTAATCTCGGCTAGATTACAGGACGCTCATTTTAAATATAAATGAAAGTTCAGTGACCGAATATAAAATCGCCAATAACTCTTAGCATTTTTTGCTTAAACAAGTTTGTTTGTTAATAGACCAGTTTGAAAACGTCCACTAAAGCCCATTGGATACCGTACCTAATTCTTTTTTGTTGCCTGTTTACTCTGTATTATAGGGAACTATTCTATGATAGTTTATTGCGTAAATAATCCATTCCACTTGAGCATTGAAGCGAAAAATTTAGAGATCATTTTTACTATATTTTTTACGTTTCGTAGGTCATTGTCGAAAATGTTTGTATTAGTATCCGACTATCCGACAGTCCCTATTTTATATTATTATTTCATAGAGTACGTAACGTACTTATAGAACAAGTAGATACTATATACATTTTTGTAGGTTTTCTTCGCCGTATTTCATTTATGTAACATGAATAATTCGTTAAAATTTTTATATTTTACATTCGGTTTCTTTCATTAATTATCTGAACTATTATTAAATATAATTTCCATAGATGACTATGCCTATTTTTTGTAGTTCTGCTAAACGAGTTAACACCAGATAGTTTGTTTTTGCTCAGATGTAACAGTATTTTTATATATTCTATCATGAATATTTGTATACAAAATTAGATTAAAAATAATTGTTTAATATGTTTATTTCGAACTTCTAATACAGCAATTTAATTTTAATTATTAATTAAACTACAAGATTACAATTTTAGAGGACTCCGCGTCCCTTGAAAATATTTTCTCCTAGTTTTTTGTTAAGCGTGTACACGTCTAGGATTTAATAAAATCATAAATTAAGGTTTCTGTGAACTATCTGTCCTTAGACGTAAAGACAAATTTAAGACTTAAAATTCAATACAGACTTAACGTACTTTAAATTTTTTTTATTTATATAATAATTTTATTAAATACATACTTAAATCATAAAATTGAACAAGCTGACGGCATATGTGATAGTCAGTTAAATTACTTATTTGCTTTTATAGTATAAGCAACACCACAGTCATCACGTCATCATATAACGTGTGACACCTTTGATACAATGACGTCGTTCCTGTGGATTACTAAGTGGTGTCATGCATCCGTACCCTGTAATGTCTCTGTCATCTTACACTGTAACCTAAACCGCTTACAAAGCAAGCTGCTTGGCGGCTGATATAGGTGAGACAGAGTACAGAGGTTACAAGTTGCAACTGTTAGTTCTAGCTTCAAAGGCGTTTTCCGGCAGCTTTATTATAATATATCAACAAGTTCCGAATGATACATCGATTATTTGAATTGCAAAACAAATTATCCGCTTATTACTGCTCATATATTGTTCTGTCACTTTAAGGCCAATGCGTGTCGAATTATTCTTTTCAATAATTGTAATATGCCCTTGCACTATATATAGAAAACATTCAAGCCACAACACA